GAGATAAGTGGGGGGAAGGGGAAGAAGCAGAGGTGGGGGAATTGGGTAGACGCTCCTGCAAGTTTCTTGCTGGTCCCCACTTGTTGATATTAATCTTCATAATCAACTGCTTAATAGCCTTACGGGCAAGGGGCCACCTATACATACATGTGTTAGCCTTTTATGCCATGCAATTCTGTCTTCATGAATGGTGAGCTCCTTTCTTGAAGGGCCGGAAGGATCCAGCCTTCCAACCTTGATGCGGACATAAGAGTTGTTTGGAAAAGTGACTAGGTTTGTAATATCAAATCCACTTGCTAGTTCTCCATGGTCATTGAACACGATCTCATCTCCAGCACTGTTATTGAATGAATTCCAGCACAGAAATGAGTGGAGCTAGGCCAAATGAGAAAAAGAGAAACAGAGTATTAGAATATTGTTATTGTTACTGATATGCTGCCCAATGCATTTCACACCAGCATATGGTACTGAGAACATGACAGGTTATCTAAGTACCTGCCAGGACTTCACATTCTTGCTTTCCTGTGTCTTCCCATCCTTTATGTGCATTAAATGTAAGGCATATGCCATAGCATAAACTATGTTATAGATGCTGTAGCTGTGGCCAGTCATGCTCATTTCAAAAAATGTTGCTGGGACACTCTCCAGGCTCTCTTCTCCACTACATAGTTCATTATTCTCTGCAGACTTTCTAGAACTGGGAAAAGAACAATCAAATTCTTCTTCCCAGAAGTTCTTGAAAAAACCATCCTCATTTGTCCATGGAGGTTTTACAGTCTGAAGAAACGTTTGGAAACCTGTTAACTCACTGGAGTGAATTGTGAAGGAAAGAGCACCATGAAACATTTCTATGTCCCAGGATGTTTGAGCGCTTGTGAAGGCAAAGTCAATTTGGGCAGTTGTTATCCACACTTTTCCTGCAGAGCTTCTCTCTGTATACCCCAAATCAGCTAGAGATCTTACCCATATAGCGGTTGCCACCCATATAACATTGGATGTTTCTCCATGTACAATAATTGCATTGCCTTCACTTTCTAGGAAACTTGAACTATTCGTGTAAAAGTTTTGAAGGATTTCAGTTGCTTTGTCTGCATGGATTTTTGTTGGGGCTCTTTCTGTGAAGGCTGAACAGATCCCATTCTTAGAAAGCATCGGCTCCAACACCTGCAAGAAACGTTCCCCAGCTTGGCCATCTGTAGTGATGAGCCCAACCCATTTCCATCTGAAATGCAGAAGCAACTGAACAATTCCCACATACTGAAGGGCTTCATTGGGCACCATGCGGTAAAAGGAAGGGAAATAGGTTTTGTAATTTGTTGTTGATTCAAATGATCCATATGAAATCTAAAAGACATAAATTGGAGAGAGAGGTGAGAAAAGTATCTGAGAACAATCATTTTATTTCCAGTTCCCAACTTTCTTGGTATTGGGGATACCATGGTCTACTAACTCTTTTAGGTAAGGCACATATTGACTTGGATGGCTGGACTTGGTCAGAAGCTATGCTGATCAGGATTGGCATATAACTTCTAAGAGGCCTGACCTACACTTCTGTTTGGCACTTTCTTCCTACTTCTCTTGTTCAGTAGGATAGGATTATCTGGTTGTTTAGGGGGTGAACAGTTGTACTTTTTGCCCATTTCTATATAACTTGTGAAAGTTTTAACATTTTACACGTTACTGGCTTTGAGTAGCTTGGCATTAAGTAGGCCTATTGTTAGGACTGATAAGGAATTAAGTGGGTAGTCCTAAAAAGTACAAGTGTGTACTTAATGGTAAAAATTTAGGGGGGCATCCTCTGACATGTCATCAAACCACCTTCTCTTAGCTGACCAGTCAGAAGGGAGGGGAGTTCCTTGGTCCTGGAATTTCACCATTGAAAAGCTATAGATGACCAGCAACATGTGGAGGTGATGGACAAGGAATGCCTCCTCTTGACAAAAAGTAAAAGGAGCTTTAGACACTAATCAGTTCTATGAGCCAGATGATCCTCTACACCCCCTTCCTTGGTCACCTTACCAAAGAGTATCTGAAAAGTGGTGAGAAAGGCTGCTCCCTGACCAGTTACCTGGCTGTAGCACTGTCAGGGGTTTCCAGGTTATTCATGGACAGACAAGAATCCTGGGTGAGACCTTTGCACACAGTCTGAGACCTTAAGAATACAGTCCGAATCCATCGAGGTGACAAAACACTCTTAATAACAATGTGATTTCTGGAGTGCTGTTCACATTTCATTTTTCTTCATCAGGTAATCTTCCTCCTCCTCAGAAAATAATAGACTGCCGATATCTTCTGTCATCTGAGACTGCTTTACTTATCACTATTCTTATTCGAGGAATCAATCATGTCGTTTCAGTACAAGACGAAAGCTCTACACTCATTTTAATCGTAAGCCCATGGAGCTGTTTGAAACTATATTTAAACTGTGCTGCAGAAGGAGCCAGAACTGGGATCTGTGTACCTCAGGGAGATCACCCCTGTGACACACAGATCTTGGCTGGGACAGCTTTTCATGCAGAAGAAGCCAGCCCCTAATATATGACAGTTGACATTTGAGAAACCCCAATCATCACCATGCACTGATCTTACCTGTGGAATCTTGTAAAGACCCAAGACGTCTGCCATGTGTGTGGAAGTATCCAAATCAAGTCCCCCGGTAACTCCTATTAGTTTTTTCTTGGAGCCACATTGATAGTTGGGAACAAACCTATGTGATTTGAAAAGTAGGTCCAGTGTAGCACGATAAGCCATCTTTGCTTTAGAGTAGTTGTCAAGGATGTGGAACCCCAACGTGAGATTTGGCAAGATTTTGGGATTATTATTAATCTCATAGACAGCAAACACCAAGGCCAGGATGTGCTGGTAGAACTTGGGGACAAAACTGCAAATATCATTGTCTTTTGTTTGACAGGAGAATTATACAGGATATGAAATCATTGTATCATTTTGGTAAGACACTAGCCATATATGCATAAGAAAAGATCTATTGAGACATGTTGGGATGGGACTGTGGGTAGAATCATAGTAAATAGTAACATATCTGATACATTTCTAATATCCAGGGAAAGTTTACAAGGCAGCCCCATTATCTCTCTTGCTGTTTGAATTAACCATTCAGTCTCTGCCTATTATGTTCTGAGAGAACTAGCTCTAAACACATAAGTAAAGAGCTGTTGGGGCTTGTTGGGATGGGACTATGGTTAAAATCATAATAAATGTATCCCATTAGAAGTAAATATCATTGTACATTATAGACAAAGTCCCCAAATTTTTTCAATGTAATTGAAAATGTTTCTGTCTTTTATACTTTGTTACACACACACGCACATATTTGTGTATGTATAAAATTATGTTAGATAACCCTTATTTTCCTTTCTACATTTTCCTTATACTATCTCTTTGTTTTCTCAGAATTACACACACACACACCCCATCTATCATCAGTCTGGCCGTCCGTCTATCATCTATCTATTGTTATCTACTTCATAATGTAGCCCCGTTTTCTCATCAAGACACAACCATCAGGATTACAAAATTGGAAAACAATTGAAACACAAAGGGAGGATATACCATAATGCATGAAGTGAGGTACAATGTAGAAGAACAAACTAGGTGATCATAAAACAGTGCACTCCTATTCCCCTACAAAAGTGACCTGCTGAGCTATTCCATTATACTACTAATTCTATAACATTCTAATTCTTTTGCACATACACATGTTAAAAAAACACTATATACCCTTGTCCTTTCAACTTAATTATGCAAGCAAAAAAATAATGAATTTCCAACAATCATTTTGACAGAGAGAAAACATTCCTTACTATAGCAAGTTAATAGATTCCTGAGAAGGGTGTTTCTCAAAGGAAATTTTGGGGGAATTACCACCAATATGAGTTACAACCGCACCAATGAGTAGTTCACCTGACTGATACCACTCATGGGGTATCTGAAGGGGTTCTGTCTGAACACACTTCAAACTATGTATTTTGTATGCCGCGTGATAGGGCAGGAGCAGCAATGAAGATTCCATCTTGATGGTGGCAAAGCTTCACCCAAGACGCAGAGTCTCCGGGTTTCCTTTTTTCCTCCAGGACTTCTAGAAGGTGGCTTGGATTGAAGCTGGCATTGCCAATGCAATTCTGAGCCTGACCTTCACCAGGCTATTTGTCTGGGTGCCAATTGAGGAATATTGATTAAGGATAAGAACATGTATGTCTTCAGCCCCTCGTCTTAGGTATGAAGAATCCAGTGGGGTTTTTATAAACACACATTTCAGATGTTTATTTTTAATGTATTGTGGAGAGCCACTGGAGTTTGAACGGTGTAGATCAATTATAGTGATTTTGATAATTACAAGGGAGATAATCACACTACACTTCTTTGAGGTCTGTGTACAATTTTTTGTGTCCAAATGTGGCAGCAATCATGATTTTCAGATTGCACCAGAACTTCTATGCACTACAGTAGCAACATCCCATAATAATCCTTAGGAAGTGATCAAACACTTCCTAAAGTGATCTACTTGCAATTTCTTGCTTGCAAACTGCTAGGTTGGCAGGAGCTGGAACTAGAGACGGGAGCTCACTCCGTCATGCGGCAACTCAGGTCTCGAACTGCTGAACTACTGACCTTTCACAGCCTGCAGTTCAGCGTCTTAACCACTTGAGCCACCGCAGCGTTCCGTGCGCCTTGGTGTTTAGTCATGCCGGCCACATGACCACAGAAACGTCTTTGGACAGCGCTGGGTCTTCGGCTTGGAAACGGAGATGTGCACCGCAACCCTAGAGTCGGATTTGACTGGCATTCGAGTAAGGGAACCTTTACCTTTACCTTTATAGATAGGAACTTTCAGTCTGGGGCAAGTGATGCTCTGTATTCTTGGTCCTTGGGGGGGCAACAGTGGGAGGGCTTCTAATGTCCTGGCCCCACTGGTGGACCTCCTGATGGCACCTGGTATTTTTGACCACTGTGTGACACAGAGTGTTGGACTGGATGGGCCTTTGGCCTGATCCAACATTGGCTTCTCTTATGTCCCTATGTTCTTATGACCCCCCAGAAATTTTCTGTGCACAACAATCTTGAAGTGTAGCTTAGGCTGAAAGATGAGACTGGCCCAGGGTCCCCCTGAATGATTCATGGTAGAGTGGGGATTGGAACTCTGGTCTTATCAATTCTAGTCCAGCATCCTAACCAAAGCACTGGACAACAGGTTTTTTTGCTGAATAAAGTTCTCTCTGCCTTTATGCTTTATGGGCTTGTTTTAATTTGTTCTGAATTTATTTGGGGAGTTTCTCTTTGGCTAGGCATGGATTAGATCATGAAGTGCCATTCCATGAATAGTGGAACTTTCTTCTGGGATTTCAAAACATTTCAGTTTTGAAAGATGGGCACAGATTTGAACTTGGACATTTCTGCCACCTCTACAGATATGGATTTTGCAATATGTATATTCTTTTATTACAACTCCCCCCACCCTTCAGGCTGCAGTTTTCCAGCAATCTTTCATTGGTTGCAGTCACACAGTAAATAATCCACTTTTAATCCATTTCAGTGCACTTTGCAACTGGATTTTTACTGTGTGAACTTGCAAAATCCATTGGAAAGTGCATTGAAAGTGGATTGCAAGTGAATTATTTGATGTGTGTGACTGTGGCCATTGTCATGGGTCATTACAGCCCTGCACATCTCTTGCACTCCTTCTGCAGACTGGCAAAGATTTCTGTTGAGATGTGATTGACATGACTGAGATGTGATTTCTTCTGCAACATCACAACAAACTGTAACTGAAGATAGGTCATTATCTCCTCTGTGAGTCCGATCAGACGGCTCTTTAGATCCACGTGAGGTACAAGTGCCTCATGGATTTATATGTCATGTCCAGACATTAACATCTGGGAAATGTCCATCTTCCATGAGCATCGCGTTTTGCCGTGCTTTAGTGCCTTACTAAAAAGGTACTAGTTAAAATTTGGAGTTTTTGGTTCCAATGGGCCAGTCATGGACTTTCCCCTGTCTGATCGTTCCACCGTGCAATTAAAAAATGGTGCCTGTCCAGGATGGTCTGACATCAGATTATCCCAAACGGGTGCCATTGTTTAAAAATCTTGATTTTGAGCATGCGTGGATAAACAAGGCCATGATATCACGCCTATGCACATGCGCAAACTTTTTTTTTTAAAAGCCACCCCATGCATGCCTCATTCAGTGGACGCCGTCTAGACAATCCACAGCGGAAGCAGCGCGTGGTAAGACGATTCCCCCAGGGGATTTCTGGTCATGCGAGGACAGATTAAAAAGTTCGGGATCAAATTTGAGCTGGCATACTGGCGGGATTAGCTGCCCATCTGAATGCACCCTGTAATTATCAAATTACATGTTTTCTTCTGCAGTGGCACAGAGAACTTACAACTCAGAACAAGTCATTAGCTCCCCTGTTATTGTCAAATTATTGATGACTATGATAACCTCTTTAATAGGTCCCTAAGGTGTCCCACTAATAGCTAGCAAAATTGTGAACTAAGACAAAAGGATATTACTTGTCTCTTCTGTGCCTTTCAGAGTCGGCACTTGAGGGGAAAAAAGACCCATCAGACCGATCCTCTAATGTGTCACATAGAACAATTTTGCCTTCACATCATCAGACTGAGTGGCTGTTCAAGTCCTGCTTCTACACAAAAACCTCCAAAATCGATGTAGGAACAGGACTATCAACATCTAGAAAGAAGCTTTCCTTGCAGCATGGTGGTATATATGGTAGTGGTGCTGGTGATGTTGCCTCAGACAGTGTGCAAGATTTCCGTTATTATGTGCAGCACCAGGAACCCTCTCCCAATTCGTCATAAGTATTATCAGCCAGGAGACCTGATCATTGGTGGCATTATTTCTCAGATCTACATGTTCTCAGATCCAATAACGTTCGAACACTACCCTTTTCATAAGCTCTTTGATGATCCCATGTAAGGGTTTGGATATTTTTTTCTATCATGTCACTGGGTCCTAAGCAGTTGCATTAAGGTCAGCAAAGTGAAGAACAAGTAGCATCACTCCTTGGGCTTGCTTTCCAGAGATATGAGATACCTCTTTCTAAGCTACCATTAGGATATTTGCAAAAAAATTGGTAGCTGACAACAATAGAAGTGTGATACAGCATCCTTTATTTCCAAGATGTTAATATTTATGTAGATTAATTTTTTTAAAGAAAAAGTCATAGCTATATGGGAGAAGTAATGCAACCTTTACATTAGTAGATTATTGAAGTTTTCATTTGTTCACCAGCTTTGGGGTGTGCTATCATAATCTATTTCTTTATATAATACAATAGGCTTCTTTTAATATAGTGGTTGTAAGTCTGACTTCCAGTTTGATGTATAAAGGTTACAATTGGTGTGATTAGCCTAAATAAGCTACATAGTCCAGTGCATAAAATAACCTGGTCCATTAAAACACAATTAAAAAACTAGAACGGTAGAGCAGCTGGATAATGTTGTTTATTTATCGCCATCTTGCCTCCTTCCATATGACCATCACCTCTTTTGGAAGGGTTAGACATGCATGTATCTCTTAATGTCAGCATGTTTGCCCCTGTCCATTGGATATGGTTGAAAAAATTGATGATATGTTACTGTATTGTCCGGTGCATAGGATCATTCAGTCTCTACATATATAACTCCAGTCTTATCTAACTTTCCTGGCAGACCTGATGCATTTTTTAAAATTTCCCTCCTTCTTTCAGATGGTTCTAACGCAACCATTTTGCAGGTGGCCAAATTTTGTGCCTTGGCATGTTCAATAATGAAGCAACTGGTTAAGTCTTTTTCTATTGATACAGTGGTTCTCAAACTACAGGTTGGGATCCAAAAGGAGGTCATGATGCTCTTGGAGATTTACTGCAAGGCAGAAGAGAAATAGGGAAAGCTAGGAGAGGCGGTACTGGGAGGCTCAAGGGTAAACATGTTTGCTTGTGAAGAAGGCTTGTGAAAAGCAGCCTGATCCTCAGAAATGCTACATATTCATCAAGGAGAAGGAAAGTACATGATTCTGCAGATTGAATAAAACAGGATTGTTCAGGAGGACATTTTTGTAAAGGGAATAGGGACTATAATAATATAATGGGATGGTTTAGAAGGATGTGTCTTTCTAAAATGAACAGGATTGTTGTCTGCTCCGCTGTTTATTGTATGTTTTACCCTGTTCCTATTGCATTGTCTTCTCCCTTCTTAATTTCTTTTTCTCCATTGTTCATGATACATCGTGTAGGATGCCTTTTTCTTTTGCATTGTTTTTCTAATTTGGTCATCCCAGTCCCGTTGCATTGTAGACTGGATTATGTTGTCTGATTACATGGTTTATGTTGTGCGACCCACTTTGTGTCTTAGAAAGGAAAGCAGGCTATAAAACAATACATTTTAAATAAACTACTTTGACAGTAGTTGAAAGAAAAATAAATGACTTTGACACTGGCTTTCCAAAAATTAGAGTAAGTTTAGAAATGGGTCCCACTTGAAAAAGCTTGAGGACTGTTGCCAATATATGGAAAAATCAATAATCAATAATCTCAAGAATTTGGACAGCACTAGATTTGTAGAGATGAGCAGGGCTTTTTTTGTAGAAAAAGCCCAGCAGGAACTCATTAGCATATTAGGCCACACCCTGACACCACAGCTCATTAGTGTAGTAGGCAGCAGCCCCGTGTTGCCAGAAGTGTAGTCATTCAGCCACACCCACCTTTTGCTTCTTATTCTGTTTACCTTGTTTTTTGTCAAAACCCAAGGCCTTGTTTTGTAGCAGGGACTCCTTTGCATGTTAGGCCACACACCTCTAATGTAGCCAATCCTAATGAGTTTCTGCTGTTGGGTGTGGCCTATTATGCTAATGAGTTCCTGCTGGGTGTGGCCAACTCAGGAGCCAGCCAGAACTCCGTTCCTGTGCGTTCCTGCCCAAAAATAGCTCTGGATATGAGTTGTTTCTGCACTGATTAGTTCATCTGGGGAGAATGATTTTGGCAATCTGAATACATATTGGATATTCTGC